AGCTGCCACAGAGAGAATGCAACTATATTCCTTACAATACTTGTCGAATTTTTCTTGCATTGTTTCAACCATCTTTTGAATATCTTTATCTCCACTCTCTTGATATTCTTTCAGAAGCTTCTCAATCTTTCAAATCTTCAAGAAGTATAAGTTTGAAGTTGGATAACATGAACCTGAAATCAAGTTGGTAATTTCAGCAAATGGCTTTAGAAAGTCGTGTCTTTTCTGCCTTAACACACTCTTCGTTTGTAGGACAATGCTTACAGTGCTTATCAATCACCGCAAGACCAACAAAAACATATTTATGTTTGAGAGTATTTTCAAGCATAGTAGGAGTTGAATTCCAATGAGTGCTCACATCCATAGATAAAGAAGAATCGGAAGCACAACTAATTTGTTCCGTTTATTCTTCAAATGCCTTCAACCTCGCCTTTAATCCTCTAAAATACTTCACATTTTCTCTAATTTTGACCACAACACCATCAATCACCTTTAATCCACTTTGCACTATGAGGTTTAGGATATGTGCACTATGTGATATCTCGAGCTACGATGAGGGTTAGGAGTGTTCCTGATGTGATGACACGTTCAACAAGCAGCTCCCCGAGTACCACTAAGGCCAAAGGGATACATGAATTAATCGAACGCACCCGAATGAGAGATCCGAGGGCTATATAGGAATTGGACTATATGGTCTGAGATAACATAAAAGAATTAGTTGGGCTACTCATAGCAACAAGATGCACCTACCTTTTCGGTTAACTGTCCCAAGAGAACTCCAAAGTTAAGCGTGCTACTCTGGAGCAATTTCAGGATGGGTGACCTACTGGAAAATATCTCGGTATACGTGCGAGTGAGGAAAAAACACGCTGGAAGGTCATTACACACTATATCTCACATGAAAATGTTCACCTTTTGCCTAATAAAAAGTTTTACGCTTCAAGGCGATGTTTCAAAATGACCATCATCCTATCATTCGATGTAGCATTATCAACGGTGATTGAAAACACCTTCCCAATACCACATTCCTTCAAACAACTAATTATCTTCTTCGCAATTTTCATTCTTGTATACGGAGGAGGAAAAGTCGTGAATTAAAGTATCTTGTTATTCAAATTCCAATAATCATCCACGTAGTGTCCCATCAGACATATATACCTCTCGTGACTTATAGCAGTCCAAAGATCAATGGTCAAGCATATCCTACTACGAATTCGAGTCAATTCAAGCTTCAACTTCTTTTTCTCTCCATCATAAAACTTCAAACAATCAGCAACAACAATATTTCTACTTATCATTTTCAGATCTGGGTTGACATATTGCATCATCTCTCGATACATATTGTACTCAACAAAAACGAGAGTTCTGGCAACCTTTTCCCTCCAAATTGTCTGATCTACTTTCCTTTCCCTTAACTTCCGACATGATCAATCCTCATATTCGTCACGTTGCCAAATTTAGGCTTCCCTTTACAATCTCTGATACGACGTTTTAAATGTGATGCCCCACTAACCGAAGAAGCGGACAATAATTTACCACAATAATTGCAAGTGACTTTCTCTTGGATCGTGCGTTTCATATGATCCTTTTGCTCTCTTTTATGCATGAATACCTGTTTTGACACCAAAGAAAGCAACCAAGCAATATCGAGACCAAATGTACTCTAGAATGCCTATAAATATGAAAAACCGAGTAAAATGCGCTAGACATCTTATACCAAAATATCACAAAAATACATGTTATCAAACTCCCCCAGACTTAAACAAAAACCGAGTAAAATGCGCTAGACATCTTATACCAAAATATCACAAAAATACATGTTATCAAACTCCCCCAGACTTAAACCTTTGCTCGTCCTCGAGCAAATACTCTATGAAAAGCGGTCTGAAAGGAGGGCGAGACAATGACATAACTCAAAATGATAATCGAGAGCGAAACCTCTATCCGACCTAGATCCCCGTGAA